GACACTACTGAAACCACAGACTACATACCTCATACTTTAATTATGTTAATTTGAAGTAACGATTGATTTGGCTTATTTTCATTAAATAAACATACGCTAACTGTTTACCATGGTGTGTCTTCCTCTTGTTGTGGCCTTTTGAGCCAGGTCATAACAAATGGGGGCTCATCTAAAGCTTAGTGCAGTAAAAAGTGTTTGGTGCATCATGGTGCGTGGTGTCATTTGGCCCAGCTGTGTGCTGGTTTTTTGGTGCTTTGTCTTGGGAGATGCATCATGTGTTTTGTTTTTCCGGAACCCTTAGTGCCTGATTGGGATAAGGTTTTTGTGTGCTGATCAGAGGGTAAGTATAACTGTGTTTTTGGTACACTCTGTACTGGCATTTCCTGTTAGGTAAAAGTGGCGTTTCTCCTTTGGGTTGCATCAGTTTGTTGTTTTCATAGCGTTGTGGTGATGTGGTTAGTGTCAGCTGTTTTCAGACAAGCTGTCTCGGGGGCACATCCGTGTGATTTTGTGGGGTGCCTGCGTGCAGGTTGCTCCGCGGATCCGCTGGTTTTGCATGCGTAAATACCCACCACAAGCCGCATGAAGACTAGGGGTGAGAAGTAGATAGTTTGTGTTAGGCAGTCAGGGGGAAATGTTCCTGTTTGGGGCGGTGTGTATCTGCAGTTAGCGTTACTGTCTGATTGGTAAGCCGTAATTATGGCTTCTTTGACTTTGTTTTTTGGTGCGCCTACAGTGGCGTTTATGAATGGTTGTAAGAAGGAGCAGTTAGTCAAGATAGCAGATCATTACGGCATTGTTGTGTCAGGGAGTAGTCGTAAGGGGGACATTAAAGAGGTAATACTATCATCTTTGTTTGAGCAGGGGGTTTTGCGTCTGGTGCCGAAATTTAATGAGCATGATCCCGATACGTTTTTCATCTTTTTGAGCGCGTGGCGGAGGCAAGGTGCTGGGCAGATTCAGACAAGGTGCTTTTGCTTCAGTGTGTCCTCACTGGGAGGGCGCAAGAGGCTTATTCGGCCATTTGTGGTGAGGTTAATTGGGATTATGAAAGGGTAAAATCTGTGGTATTGAAATCTCATCTCGCTGACTCATAAAGGGAATAGTGGGAATGTTCGTTCTGGAGGGGGTGGAAAGGTGTACACAACAGCCCTGCTAATGCTCACACAGGGGTAAGTACTAAATCGATTCCGTCCCATAAGCCTGCTAGTGCAGGACGTGCTGGGTTGTGTCATTACTGCCATGGTGAAGGTCATTGGAAGGACCAATGTCCTTTAAGATCAACAGAGAAACGCAGTTTTCCCTTTCATGCTCCAGTCATGTTCTGTTCTGCTGTTGCCAGGGATATACTGTCAAGTGGGGACCCAGGGATTGCGCCCTGCAGGGGAGTCTGTGTTACCCCAAATAGTAGTTCTGGTTTTGAACCATTCATCTCTGATGCTATGGTATCATTAGTGGGTAGTGACAATTAAGGTGTGATACAGCGGCTAAGCACTCATTTATTGTTGAGTCCGTACTGCCTTTTTCAGCAGAGACAGACACTGGGGAAGTTGTTCTAATGACAGGAATGGAAATGGGGTTGATTCCGTTGCCGCGTCACAAGTTAGAACTGGACTGTGATCTGGTGCAGGGAGTTGTGACTGTCGGGGTATGTCCCGCGTTGCCAATTGATGAGGTTCATATGATTTTGGGCAACGACCTAGCTGGTGGTGTCGTATGGGCAAGTGTCCCTTCACCCGTAGTTGTTTTCCAGCCAGTAGGATGTGAGGGGCTAGATGAAAGTGGTTTAATGTTTCCTGATGTTTTTCCAGTTTGACACGCGCACAGTGTCGTGGGTTATCTGCTCCTGTCGATATAGGTGAATATCTGGTCCCATTGCCTGATCTCCCTTTTTCTGTCTCAAGGGAGGACTGGGTGAGAAGCCAGAAGGCCGACTCATCTCTGTCTGCGCTATGGGATGAGTTCTTGTCCACTGACGTTGTTAGGGATGTAGCCATGGGGTATTTTGTTCAGGAGGACTTGCTGGTGCGTAAGTGGGTTCCCTGTCTTGGTGACTCTGTGGGGGAGGCAATTTTTCAAGTAGTGGTGCCCAGCTGTTTTTGGGATGATGTATTGAAAATTGCGCATGATAATTGTGGACATCTGGGGATAGGTAAAACCTATGACTGTGTCCTACGTTATTTTTTTTTTGCCTCGGTTGAAACGTGATGTGGCAAGGTATGTAAAATCATGCCACATATGTCAACTCACTGGAAAACCTAATCAGGTGATCAAGCCTGCTCCTCTGAGTCCCATCCCGGCCGGCCATTCCAGCATCTAATTATAGATTGTGTGGGACCCTTGCCTCCATCCAAGTCCGGTTGTGCATATATGTTAACGATAATGTGTCAAGCTACGCGATATCCTGCTGCATTTCCCTTACGTTCCATTTCTGTGAAGCAAGTAGTTAGGGCGCTAACTCAGTTTATTTCTACTTTTGGCATTCCATGTGTTAAGGGGGTTAAGCATAACCGAGCATCGGCGTACCATGCACAGAGCCAGGGGGCGCTTGAATGATTCCATCAAACTCTCAAGTCTATGCTGCGGGCGTATGCTATGGAGATGGGAAAGGACTGGGAGGAGGGATTGTCCTGGCTGTTGTTGGCAGCTAGGGAGATGGTCCAGGAAAGCACGGGCTTCAGCCCTAATGATTTGGTTTTTCGGCATACAGTGCGGGGTCCTTTATCTGTTCTTCAGGACAGGTTGGTTGAGGGGGAACCACCGAAAAATTTGGTGGACTATGTAAATGGCTTTCGTCGCAGACTTTATGTAGCTGTAGAAATGGCAAGAGAGAACTTGGCTGGGGCTCAAAATAATATGAAGAAACGGTATGATCGTAAGGTTGAGCGCTGTGAGTTTAGGCCAGGGGACCAGGTGTTGGCTTTAGTGCCACTTCAGGTTTCACCATTTCAGGCAAGGTTTGCTGGCCCATATACTATTAAAGAAAAAGTTTATGATCACAACTACTTGATTTCTACTCCTACTTGGAGGAGAGCTACTCAGCTGTGTCATGTTAATTTACTCAAACCATACTATGTTCGTGACATGGGTGAAGTGACCGATGCTGTTTCTCGTGATGTGGAAGTTAGTCCGGCAATGATGGTTGATTCCGTAGTTTCAGATTTGGTGGTTCTGAAGGCGGGGTTGGCTGACGGGGATATTAAGGGCCCTGATGAGCCGATCATGAGTGGTCGGTTGAAAAATTCTGAGTCCCTAACTCAGCTGGGTTGCTTATTGGGTTACTTACCAGTTTCTCATAAGGCTGAGCTGTCGGCACTAATCGGTAGGTTTTCTGTACTGTTTGGTGATACCCCCTCCCGTACAGATCTTATTGAGCATGATATTGATGTAGGGGACACCTTGCCTATTAAGCAACGCTTTTACCGTTGCTCAGCAGATAAGCGGAGAGTACTGGAGTCTGAAGTCCAGTATATGTTGGATAATCATATAGCAGTTCAATCATCCTCTAGTTGGGCGTCACCTAGCTTGCTGGTGAGCAAATCTGATGGGTCACCACGGTTCTGTACCGATTATCGTAAAGTTAATAAAGTAACAAAGTCTGATTCTTACCTGTTGCCACGGATGGACGATTGCATTGATTTGATGGGTTCTGCTACTTTTGTCAGCAAATTTGACTTGTTAAAGGGGTACTGGCAGGTTCCTCTTTCAGAGCGGGCCCGGGAAATTTCAGCATTCGTTACACCTTTAGGCCTGTATGAGTATAGAGAGATGAGCTTTGGCCTTCGTAATGCGCCTGCAACATTCCAGCGCCTGATGAATCAGGTGGTAGCAGGTTTGGAGGGTTGCGCTGTCTATCTTGATGACGTGGTTGTGTTTAGCGATACATGGCCTGCTCACATTCAGTACATTGAGGCTCTGTTCAGTCGCTTGGCTGGGGCACATCTGACGGTGAACTTGGCTAAGTGTGAGTTTGCAAAGGCAACAGTGACGTACCTTGGTCGAGTTGTTGGACAGGGGCAAGTTCGTCCGGTGGATGCGAAGGTTCAGGCCATTACACGGTTTCCTGTGCCAGCTACTAAAAAGGAGCTTATGCGGTTCCTAGGTCTGGTTGGTTACTATCGTGCCTTCTGTAAAAACTTTTCAACGTTGTTGGCTCCCTTGACGGATCTTCTGAAAGGTTCAGCAAAATTTGTTTGGTCTGCTTTATGTCAGGTGGCATTTGACAATGTGAGGACTCTGTTGTGCGCTGCTCCAGTCCTTTCTGCCTCATGCCTGGACCAGCCTTTTAAATTGGAGGTTGACGCTAGTCATGTTGGGGCAGGTGCAGTTTTGTTGCAGGATTCAGGGGGGGTCGAGAAGCCGATCTGTTACTTCTCAAAGAAGTTTAATGCCTATCAACTGAATTATTCAACTTTCGAAAAGGAGGCATTGGCTTTGGTCTGGGCCCTCCAGCATTTTGAGGTATATATTGGGAGCAGCCCTGTGGTGGTGTATACTAACCACAACGCCCTTATTTTCCTTGACTCTCTCAGTTGTCCGAACCGGCGGTTGATGAGGTGGGCATTGTTCCTACAGTCTGTGTAGTGTGTCTTCCTTTTGTTGTGGCTTTTTGAGCCAGGTCATAACACTTGTGACGAAGATGTGTTTGATCTTTGTAATACAGTCATGTTGGAGTCAGGCCTCGCATTCCCCACAAACATACCACAAGCCCAAGAATTTTATTTGAACATTCGTGAGGCTGTTCGCTCCCTCATCTTTAACTGACTTGTGTGTTTAATACCTACCTGACAACTGAGTTTTGTTGATGTTTCTCAGGTTGTGTAAGTCATTGAGGCCAACAGGCTTTCACATGTATTGTCAGAGGTACAGTTACTATAGAATTTAGTTTATTTGGTTACATTTTGGTTTAACGTCAGGTACTTATATTTGCTGCAGGTAAATATGCCACAATGTGTAATGTAGACAAATACTAGTCTGTAAAAATAAATGATGAACACACATTCACACAATACTGTTCAATTTTATTCAACAATTTCACTACCAAGTTGAATTTTCCATCTGGCCATATCATAAATGATTCTGGTATGCAAAAATTAATGCATAATTTCATGACTAACAACACTTTGGTAACTGACAGTGTATAGTTTGTGATAAACTCATTCTTAACATAACTTTTATAATTTGAAAGAATAAAGCTACTGGTCGTGAGGGTCCCTTTTAATTGCCATATCACAATATGCTGTTTTAAAACTGGTGCGCAAGTGAATTACGTCATATGAACTGTTATGCAGATAACATTTAGTGAATGCATAACTAACAAGCACTCTGTAAAATAACAATCGTAATAACAGGAATTTAAAACACTTGTAAGAATAATGGTGGGTGTGTATGTGTGTCCACCATAGAGGGCTTGGAGAATTTAGATCATATTCATTGTTCAAACTGAGCTTCTGCTATTGAACTATTATGCAGGTAACATTTAGTAAATGTATAACTAACAAACACTCTGTAAAATAACAAAATTATAACATGAATTAAAAATGCATAAGAATAATGGTGTGTGCGTGCACGTGTGCGTGTGTATGTAAGTCCACCATAGGCTGTTTTAGGAATTTAAATAATTTCCCAGTTTACCCAGACTGAGCTTCGTAGAATAAGATCAAGGTCATTATGGAGATCTTGGAAGGTTAGATAGTTGAAAGGTAACATCAGCAATTGAAACTGGTGTGCAACTGAAGCTAGTAATTTGAACTGTTGTGCAGGTAGCGAGAGCATAACTAATAAGCACTCACAAGCAAAATAAAATGATAACAGGAATTTAAAACACTTGTAGGAATAATGTGTGTGGGTGTCCGCCATTAGCTGCTTGGACAATTTAGATCATGTCCATTACCTAGACAGAGCTTCTGAGAATAAGATCAAAGTCGTTACGGAGGTCTGGGTAGTTCAGATAGTTGACAGGTAACATCAGATGACAGCCACATGTATGAGCCTGTGGTCGACACTGGAATGTGGTAGTCTCGATGAACTGAACTGTGATGTTGTGTCCACAAAGGACATCTGCCCTTGTGCAGAAGCGAAGGAAAGCCTTTAAAACAGAACTGTCACACTCACCGATGTACCTCCTCAAATGTCTTGCCACGGTGTTTTGAGCGGCTGTCATCTGTTCAGGGAATTTCAGCAGATCCTTAACACGCTTTGGATTTGGGATATGCCCTTCTATTACCTCAACAAGTTTCTGTGGATACAAAGTATCTGCCAGGGTTTTCAGGATGGGCTTCCAGCATTCAATGACAAACACTGGTGTCTGGATTAGGGTCTTGTGACCTAACTGAGACAAAAGTCCTGCAATATTGTTTTCAGTGGCAAGGTGGTAACAATCGTGTGCATCCAACACATCCAATAGGTCCTCTTTGTCAGCTGATTCAAATGATCTCAATGCAAGCTCAAGGATCTCCTTCTCTTCTTTTGACACATACTGTAAAAAGGTCTCCATCACACTAGTGTAAGTAGTTCCATACAGGGTTTCTTCTAAGAATGGAAGCGGGAGAAGCACTGGGAAATACCTGACAGATGTCCAGCCTGTCACAAGGACCCTAGCAATTGCTTACCACTCCCCTACTTGATACTCATGTCTGAGGTAGGGTGTCTTTACATTTGTACCCAATGTGCATTTGTTGTAAAATTCTCCCCAGAATTCTGACAGGCAGTCACGCAGCACACCTTCACCTTCGCCTTCCTCCAGCTGTCCATTGGGAAGCTTCATTTTTATTTGGGCATCTTTGGTCATTAGATCTGGGTCAACGAAGGCTGCTATAAGGTCAGCAAGACAGTACCCCGACGCACTACAATAGTGACCTTTGGCTTTAAATCCTCCCAGGGCAAAGTATCCTCCAAGTCAACAGTATCTGTTAGTGGCCCTTGAACCATTACTTCACCATCTACGTATATAGGTGGGCAGCATCGATTCTGCATCACGAGCTTCAGGCAAAGCTGCTGCTTGGTCTGGTCTGTCTTCTTCCACGCCTATTCCTTTTACTTCATCTTGGTTGTGAAAGACCATTTCCACATGTGATAGCTCTTGATACACCAAGAGGTCTGTCACATCTGAGTCTGACAGTAACGTTAAGTCAATTGTGTCCTCTGATGTTGATAATTGACCTTCATTGACACCCTGTGAAATATCCGAAGGTGTCAAAGGATTATCAGTTAAGCTGTTTGTTTCCTGAACACTTCTCTTGGTGCAGAGGTACAATCTGAGTATCTTGACTTTGTTTTTCTCATACAAATCCTCAACTGTACTGTCTAGGTCAATGTCATTTTGTGCAAAGTCACATGTGGCGAACATGGTCAGTCAGTTTCAGAGACTTGCAGAAACCATTGGGGAAAAAAATAGACTCAGCAGTTGTTTGGATGTCACGGAGTTTTGCTTGCCTGTCCACACAAATATGGCGGGTCCCACCCCCTTTTTTTTAGCTCGCACCTGTTTGAAAGTATTGTTGTCTGCAGAAGTGAATCCACCCTATTTCTAATCTTCTCACGGTTTTCTTTGCATTCTTATTTCCTCTTAATTTATCCCATGTCGCCTGTCTCTTCTTAGCCTTGTTATCTGGAGCACAGTACTTTGCCCTTATTCGTTCTAGGAGTCCATCTTGCGTAGATGTTCCGTAATGTCCACGATGGTTACTGCGGCAGAAGGCTACAGCTGCTAGGCGATCTCCGTAATGGGGGATATACTTTGCCAGATCTTCTTCAGACATCAGTGTGACTACTGATGAGTCAATCTGCAAAATATAAACAAGAGTTTTTTTTTAAACATCATATAATGTCGTGGATGAAAACACATTTTATACACTGAATATTTGCCAATAAAATTAAAGTATATGCATAAATAAAAGTTCTAAGACAGAAATGATTATTTATAGAAACCATAAATACACCACAAACTGCTCTGTTAGGGATCTCTATCAGTGCAGGAGGGCCCTTGGAATTGTTGTAACTAGCCCCTTATGGTGTGTGTGTGTGTGTGTGTGTGGGTGGGTATGTGAGAGAGAGAGTAAGAGTGAGCTTTCTGTGTGTAACTATGTACATATTGGATGCAGGGTGTATACTACAGAATATATTGTATAGTGATACAGTGCTAAGTGAGAGAATAAGCAAGAGTCATATTCAAAGTCAAGTAGTTAACCATAGGATGTTCTAGAGGCTGCATTTTGATTGGGTGTTACATCTTGTAATTCTGTGACCTTATGGTAGTTATTTGTAGATGAGTGTGGCATGTCGAATTTTTTGTACTGGAGCCCTGACGCCCTGCACAAGCGAGAGATTTTTGCGCAAAATGCCCCCTATCCATGTTACACACCTCTGTGAAGCTATTAGGTTCAGCTAGAATCTCAAACCAACCATTTTTATCCATACCAAACACTCATCAAACACCAAGCATCTAAATCAGCTTATATCACAACATAAATCGCTCTGTGAACGTCTCGGGTTACGTATGTAACCCTTGTTCCCCGAGAAGGGGAAGGAGACACTGCGTCGATGACGACACAATGGGAACGCCTCTGGGCGTAAAACCGGATGAAAGTGTGAGGAATGGCCCAGCCAGCTGCCTCACACAAATCCTGGAGCGAAGCCCCTACGAGGAGGGCCCTAGAGGCCGCCATGCGCCCTTACGGCCATAGGTGAAGGTAACCCACGCACCTGATAGGCCAGGGAAATAGTCTGAACAATCCAGTTGCTGATCGTGTGTTTAGAAGCGGGGAGCCCAGCCTTGGGGGACCCGAAACACACCAACAACTGGTCTGCTTTCCTCCACCGGGAGGACCTCAGAGTGTAAATACTCAGTGCTCTGACCGGGTAGAGCAGATGAAGTCTCCCGTCCTCCGCCGTCACATGAGGTGGGGGATGAAATGCCTGCAGCACCGTAGACCCTGCCAACCTGGAACCTTAAGGACATAGCCCGGACAGGAGTGCAGAATGGCTCTGACCCTCCCCGGGGCAAACTCCAGGCATTGAGGAGAAACCGAAAGTGCCTAGAGATCCCCCACCCTCCTCAGAGAGGTGATAGCGAGGAAAAAGGCCATCTTAAGGATCAGGTGCTTGGCCTCAGCCGACTCCAGGGGTTCAAAAGGGGGCCTCAGCCAGCGCTTCGAGAACCACCGCCAGGTCCCAAGTGGGAACCCTGGAACGAGTCATGGGTCTCATCATACGGGCTCCACGGAGGAAGCGCACAACCAGTGGAAGCCTCCCGAGAGGCCCATCCCTCAGAGGGGCGTGGAACGCCGCCATGGCAGCCACATACCCCTTGGGTGTGGATGGGGAAAGGCCAGCAGAGAAACGGTCCTGGAGGAACTCCAGTACCATAGTCACCGGGCAGGTAACTGGGTCCACCGCCCGTTCTCTACACCAGGTGGCAACACATTCCACTTCAGGCCGTACGTCCTTCTGGTGGACGGGGCTCTGGAGCTGAGCAACATCTCGACTGCTCCTGCCGTCAGGCCCGCCTCCAGGAACTGGGCCCACTCAGGGGCCGGACCCACAGTCTCCACAGCGTGGGGCAAGGGTGAAAGACCTGGCCCTCTGCCTGAGACAGCAGGTCCCTCCTCAGGGGGACCTGCCATGGTGGGCCCTCGAGGAGCGATATTCTGTCCGAGAACCACACTCGGGCCGGCCAAAACGGGGCTACCAGCAGTAGACTGACACTGTCCTGATGGACCCGCTCCAGAACCCCCGGCATCCACTGCCTCACCAAACAGGCCAGTAGCCCCTCGGGGCTGGTGTTATGTGTAGGTCCCTGGTGGCACCCTGAAGCGGAGAACCGCCAGGGAAAACTCGCCGGCGACCCACGGTGTGTGAGCCTGATCCTTTTCCAGCTGCAGCCCCTCAAGGCGGGCAGACTGGTGAGAGCTCGCTGGCGGTTAGCGTGTCCCGAGCACCAAGACGGTGGGAAAACAGCGCCTGTTGCCTGAGCCGCCACAAGGGAGGGGACCTCGGTCAGCCTCTCGGGGGGCTGTGAGCAAGAGAGCGCCGCCTCGCATCCCAGTTTGTTGAGGGGGATTATGGGAAGCGACGCTTCGCTTCTGGCTCCGGCGGTAGGAGCTAGACGAGGGCTGAGCTCGTCTCTCTTCATCCGTCGCCGTCCTGGACCCAGACTGGCAGGGGAGATATTGCTTAAACGCCTCTCCCTGCGTTTCAGCGTACTGAAACCTGCTGATGACAGCATCCACCGCCTCACCAAACAGGCCAGTAGGAGAGAGGGGCACATCCAGGAGAAAAGCCTTCTCCTTCCCCTGGATGCCCGAGAGGTTGAGCCACAGATGGCGCTCCGTAGCCACCAATGCTGCCATGGAGCAGCCAATGTTTAGTAACACAGAGCGTTTAAGTCCGTAGCTCTACGGAGCTCAGTCAGGTCCTCCTCAGAGGGACCTACCCCTAGGTCATAATCTTGAGAAGATCGGCCTGGTACGCCTGCAAGATGGCCATAGTGTGCAAGCTTGCACCAGCTCGACCTGCTGCTATGTAGGCCTTGCCCACCAAAGCGGATGTTTCGTCCAACACAGCTTGGTGGGGAGCGCCGACATCTGAAGGAACGAAGCGAGGGTGGGAGAAAGATAGCTCGTGAGCGCTTCCTCCCCCCAAGGCATTGTTCCGTTCTCTTTAGCCGTGCTGCTTAGTTTCTGTCACGCTGCTGTAGTCCAGCAGAGGGGACACAGTCACAGCCATGCAGAGCATGATTTACATAACTCATTGTGCAAATCAGTGAAGAAGGCGGGGGTGGCGCTCAGGCTGCAGAAAAGCTCAGCGGATACTGCCGGCCCGCGGCTCCTGCCCCGCCTCTCATAGCTGGGCGCAGTCTAATGACGTCGGCCTGGCTCCCGGAAGTCATCCTCCATGATGCTAAGCATGTCTAGCTCCTCAGAATCAGACTATGCAAGCCTCTCCAAACTCATACCTCGGGCGGGAGAAGCTGAGAAACGGACTCCCGAATGGGGAAGAGAGGAGGCGGAGTCAGCAGACGAGGAACGGGAAAAAGCCTCGGCAGTCCCGATGCCCTCGGAGATGTAGCGCTGGGCGCCCCATGACCGAAGCCACCGCGCCGCCTCAGCGACCGCCGGGCGCGAGCCACGGGGAGAGCGCATCCGGCCGTCTTCGGAAAAGAGAGCCGCACGGGACCTCAGCACCCTCAGGGGCAGGGCCTCACAATAGCTGCAAGCAGCCCCCTCGATAGCTGCCTGGGCATGTGGCATCCCCAGACAGGAAACACACAGGATAGGAGTGTCGCCAGCCGTGATGTAGCGTGGGCACAGAAAAACACATCGCCTGAATTGTTCACCAGCCATCTCTTTGTCTGCCATCTGACTTCCTTCCAGGTAAGAGCTTCTTTGGATTTGCTGTAGCTTTCTTGGTCTTCAAACATGCCAGAGTGCCTGCTGAATAGAAAAAGGCTAATGTGTCCTGTGTGCCGGCGTGCTTATATACCCCTCCAGTTACGCTGTCACACGCTACCGTTCTAGCAACACCAATAGGATTGGAGTAGTTTCATTCATAGTTCAGCCCTGCCACGCCCAGAGGCGTTCGCATAGTGTCGTCACCGACGCAGTTCGAGTTCCCTCGAAGGGGAACACATGTCTGCAATTACTGCCATCCATATATGTCTCATCTCATTGTATGACGGGTCAATCAAATCGCCAAACTCACGGACTAGTTAGCTGGAGAACAATAACAATAACCGCACCAATATACATATACAATTACAACCGCTGACTTACTTTAGCACACAGTCTTTATCGCCGTCTAGTGGCCGAATTGTAGTAGTTTTACAGATATGCCATTTATCAAATGAAAAGTCTGCTCAAAAGAAATCATTCATCACTGCATATTCACTGTATTTATCAATATTTCAATGTTATGGAAGCTTTATGTAATTTGTAACGTGGTTGTATGGACATAAATAGTGTTTTGAAGAAAACTCAACATATAAACAGTAAATACATCCAAAACACAGCCATTCGCCTGGGTATATTTCTTAGAATTGTATAATAACTGTTGCATTATAATCTGCAGGATGGTGGTTTCAATGTTGATATTGTTATTAAAATATAGATTTTATAGCAGGCAAGGATGAAAATATATTTTCCTTTATTGCATCTCCATTTCCTCTGTAATGGCAAAATAAGTTAATTTGGATTCATATTCCTTAGCTTCTGACCTATCAAAGGAGACCAGAATTATGCATCTAGGCCTAATGGTTGAGGAGTTATTTCTGATTAATTTTGGGTATGTTATTTTAGGCGTTTTTCCTAGAAATAGGTGGTAGTTTCTCACAGGATAAGCAATAATAATAGCAGCAGACATTATGTATCACTCTGAGGTACATCTAGTCTATTTAAGTCTAAATAAGAGGCAATCAACTGCACCATACTGTATACTACAGGTTAAGAATTTACTACTTTTTCCCTGAATGAGCTAACATTACAATAGATTCTTCATTAGGGAAATTACATCCATCCATCGTCAACCGCTTATCCTGCGTACAGGGTCGCGGGGGGCTGGAGCCAATCCCAGCTGAAATTATATGTATATAAAATTAATATTTTCTAATGGATACCTTGTCATTTTTTAGTTTGTGCAAAATGTCTTGTTCAATTCCACGGTCTTGCAGAAATTGCAGTAAGGGGTCATCCTGCCCTTCCATTTTAGGAATCTGTAAAAGAACAAACGTCATCAGACAAAAATACAAGAAGAGTTGACTGAACTAATTGTTCATAACCACAACAGGTTGATACAAGCTAGTTATCAGAAACGAGTGTTCAGAAGTTTAGGAATTTTCACCACTTAGTTTTCCTCCATCTATATCAGGTAATTTTCAGGAAAGCAAGCTTTGCTCCCCTTAATAAGGGGAGCATGCTTTATTGACATTAATCTCTATATTTCACTATCATCATGGATCATGCTGAGCGTCAGACATTCAGCCTGAGGGAGCGCTCACTGACCGTCCGCAGCGGGCCAGTCGCTCCGCGACTCCTGTCCCTGGTCCGCCCCACTCCCATCGCCGGTACAGGATTGTGTCGCTAGTACGGCCGACGCGCTGTGAACGGTTCGTGTTCGTTCCCTCTGGCTACATGAATATTCGGCCTACGTATGATCCATGCGCTACTGCAGCTGGATCTCCCTACAGCGCCACGCAACTTTCTAATCTAAATTATTCCCTCTCACGGAGAAGAGAAAGGTCAGATCGCAAACACAGCCACAGCTGTTGTGTCAAGCGTAATTGTAGCAAAATTGCTAGGCTACATATGATGATAATAATAATCATAATATAATTAAGACAAACATGCCTCATACTCTCACAGTCAGCTAGTAAGGAGTCTAGTCTACTAGCACAGTCAGCACAGTCACAGTCGAATCTTTGAGTTTTATATTGAGTTTTTACGCAGAACCTTACTCGGCGAGCATGTAGAATTCGGCATAAATGTCTGAAGAGATGTTTGATAGCGCTAATCGCCTTCACTTTTCAGCAGTTGGAAGCGTTAGGATGCTAGCCTCACATTCACCGACTGCCTATGTGGTGATTTTAGACGACTTATGTAACGTTGATTCTCAATTTTCAAATTTCTGAGCTGTAACGTTCACTTACATGTTAGGTAGCAGATGGGGCTGTCTGATTAAGTTACAAACCTGGCAGGCTAAGTTAGCTTTAGCCTACTGGACAGTTACCATGATTAGCCTAAGTTGCACTAAACAAAGCATGTTCTAAGCTGCCATGTCGCAGCCTTTGTGTTAAAGTCAAAGTATGAAGTGAAATAATTTTTGTTGTTGCTACAACACCCACCTGTAGTTTCCTCTTAGAGGGAGCTGCCAGGACTGCTCTCCTTCCTGGTGTCGAATGGTTGCCGTCAAATGAGCCGTCCAGATTCCTTAAGGCCACAGGCCTTGACACAACATTGCAGCCTCGCAAAATTAATTCGTGGCCTCAAAAAAATAATTCCTAGCCTGAAAATAATAATTCGTGGTCTCAAAAAAATAATTTGTGGCCACGAATTAATATATTTTCCATTAATGTCACCAGGGGGGCTCCGTAGTTTTCTTATTTATCAAGAAGTTTAAAAGTGATTTCTGTTTTCTACAAGAGTCTCATTGCACCAAGACTTGAAGGATGAGCTCATGGATCTGAAAGGTCAGCTGGTGTTACTATTTTGAAAGACAACTTTCCTGGTGGGATTATTCACCATTGTGACGATAGTACTCTCTGTTTGTCTAAAAACATTTATTATAATTAACATCTACGGTTAGAATACTGGCTCTGAAAATTATGTTTTGCTGGATATACTAAAAAAGAAAACACTTCACTTGTTGAACAAGTTCCCTAATTCTTTTTAGATTTTTGGAGGAGACTTTAATGTTGTATTAAACAGTAATTTGGATAGATATCCACCAAAGAGATCCAGTCTAACCAACTCGCACCTTAAAGATCTCATGGAAAAATTTAATCTAATTGTGATCTAAAAATGATATTACATATCTAATTGAGTCTCACTGGGAAGAAGCCTGTAAGAAAAAGTCATTTGGTCAACAATGGGAGCTCTTAAAATTTGAATTAGGCAAATATATGAGATCCAATGGCAGCAACTTAGCCAAACTTAGATGACAGGAAGAAGATAGGCTGTTACTGATAAGACTACCGAAAACTTTTTTGAGGAGGAGTTACTTCAGCTTAGTGAATGCCAAAATAAGTTAGATGACATCTACAGACAAAAGGCTCAGGGGGCTTTTGTGAGATCAAGAAGGAAGTGGTTGGAAGAAGGTTAGCAAAACTCTTTTTTTTGTTTAGAAAAATCCAAACTCAAAAAATCATCCATTGACACTCTAAAAATGAATGGCCATCTCGTTACTGATCACAAAGTATTTGCTTGCTTTTGCTCAGAGTTTTATAGTAAACTTCAAACCTCCAACTTCTCAGAAGATAAAACTTCTCAACTTCTATTAAAACTTGTAAAACAATTTCTGAACTATAGAGCATTTTGTGACAGCAAAATTACTCACGATGAAGTTCTGAATCTCCAGGCAATGACGTAATCACCTCAGAATTTTATAAGGGATTCTGTAAGGAGCTGACCACCTTTCTTTTCAATGTCATTTCTGAAAATATTGAATTTGGAATGCTGCCACCTACATTATCGCAAGGCCTTATCACTCTCATCCCAAAACCCTAAAAAGACTTACTTTTGATAGATTTGGCACCCTATCTGTTTGCTCAATAATGACTGCAAAGTATTTGCTCGCTCTTATTCTTGCCAATAGAATTAAAAAGACCTTAACTTCTATAATTGACGAATCACAGTCAGGGTTTATGTCTAACAGACATATCGTAAACAATGTTAGGTTGGTTTTGGATTTATTAGATTACTCAGAACTCATTAATGATAATTTTTTTAAGGCCTTTGATTCCCTGGAACAATTTATTTATAAATCATAGTTCAAATTTGGTTTTGGCGACTATTTCTGTAAATCTATCAAAACACTTTACTCAAAAAGTAAAGCTTCAATCAAACATAAATATGGTACCTCACCCCGGTTTCAGTTATCTCGAGGCGTTCGTCAAGGCTGCCCTGTCTCTCCCTACTTATTCCTCCTTGCCGCTCAACTCCTCTCCACGTTCATTCATGAAAGTCATATTAAAGGCATCTCTCTTGCTGGCAGACGGATTACCATAAGTCAGGTGGCTGATTATAGTACATTTTTTTTGGCAGACTCAAACCAAATTCCTGTTGCCATTAAACACATTGAAATATTCTCTGCAGCATCAGGTCTTCTTCTAAACAATAAAAAGTGTGAACATCTTTCCTTATGTGGCATTCCGGTGAAATCTCAGGCAACTTATCTGGACATTGTGATAACTAAAGCTGAAGATGAACGATGCAGTTTGAACTTCAGCCCTATTATCAATAAAACTCAGAAAAGATTCAGTCTCTGGCTCCAGAGAGACTTATCCTTAAGAGGTAGGACTCTGTTAACGAAAGCTGAAGGTATCTCCAGGCTAACATATGCTGCCTTGCCCTAAATGTTGATGCGTCCTTTTGTAAATCTGTTGATAAGATGTTATTTAAGGTTATTTGGAAAAACAAAACCCATTATATAAAAAATACTGTGATAATGAACACTATTGACTCTGGAGGGCTGGATTTCTTAGATTTTAACTACCTTGAACTACACCTTCAAAATCAACTGGATCAGAAAATTTCTGTGTAATCCAGAATCCATGTGGAACTTCATTCCAAATTACATGTTTTCCAAATTAGGTGGTCTTCCCTTTTTGCTTATGTCTAAATTGCCGGTCACTTTAGCTAATTTCAACAAACAAATGCTGTTAGCTTGGTCTCTTTTGTACAAACACTGTTTCTCTCCACATCTTTATCTCATCTGGAATAATTGTGACATTATTCAAAAACAAATCTATATTTTTCCAGAATTGGTTTAACAATAATATTCTTTTTGTAAAACAGTTATTCAACTCAGAAGGTTTTCTAATGAACTATTCTGAATTCTGGTCTTGCCATAAAATCCCTGTCATTCCGAAAGAGTTTGCTGTTGTAATGGATGCCATTCCCAAAGGTGTGATGATGTTATTTATGGGTAATACTGAACTGCTTCTTTCTACCGGTATGTTGTTGTTAAATGACACTATGATAAGAAAAATATGTTTTTTTATCCAGCCCGAAGGATTAGTTGTTTTTTTTTCAGAAAGACATTGTCACCATCCCATATGTAATCCATTACTGGGGAAGATTTGTTTCAAATATCAAATGGAAAAAGGTTTGGACCATACCCTCAAAATACTTGATCACAAACAAACCTCGAGACATCCGTTTCAAACTTATGCCCAACAAAACATTATTTGCAAAGACAGACATTCACTGCTCTTTCTGTGGACTCCATTGTGAAACAACATACACTTATTTTGGAGCGGTCCTTGTACTGTTACTTTTTCGAGAGACTTTGCATCTGAACAAAGCAAGGGTAATTAAATGATAAATCTTATTGCACTGTCAACGACTAGGCATTAGCCACCTCTTATACCTTAACATAAATTATATATGAATTAAGCACTTTATTAACCCCACCCCCCAAAAATACAAAAACTCACATATTTCAGAAACAAGACAACATAAGCGACCGATATTAATCAGGTGATTACAATTACAACCGTTTGTTTCATCATGACTGCTGATTAGATGAATGCAACACATCAAACCTCTCTCTTCCACGTAATGCATCAGAAGTTTTCATAAACTACATACTGATATTTGTCGTAATGAATCATATCATGTGGCAGCTGCGGGGCTCCACAACATCTAAATATCTAACATTTTCTGCAAAGCTTCAGCAAAGGGCTTCACCAGAAACTCTTCAGTGAAGTAAGTGATGAAATGTGGTAATGATAGTGCTTGAATGCACAACAAGCTGAATCTCTCACAACACAGGTCAGCTGGCACTGGTGAAAGTGTCTAAACCAAGAGTCACTCTTGCACAAGACAAGATTAAAGACAGGACTACACTTATACAACTGTAGAACTTTAATAAACAATGAATTAACACGGCATGATACAGATGGGCTGTATTATACATCACATTGCATAAGAAACACAGGCTTATACACAAATACAAACCTGAGATAGTTTCATTTAGCACAGTACAACAAATAAATGACTATAAATAACAGCACAAGCGAAGATCATCAGCCCTGAGTATGACATTGCACGAAATATTTCATTTACCACTGAGATGATAGTGTTTGCGTGTATGAAGACATTCAAGCATTTAGAAAAGGATTGAAGACACCATAACCACTGATTTAGTGCACTGATTCTGCATTTTATAAAATAAATCATAGTTACCCTCAGGCACAAATGGCTGCAGTTATTAAAATACTACTGATTTCTAGTGTAATTAATCATCCAACACACCCTGGGACGCTATATTCTGAATTTCAAGCGATAATAAAAATCATCATTGTGCAAATAGGTGTGTGATCCACAAAAGAAACATCAGATCGTACCTTTGACACTCACTCACTCACTCACTCACGGCTTGAAGAGAAGAGGCTGCATCCTGACAAAGGTGAAGTTGTAGTACCGTGGCAGACCCTGGTGGCTGATGCTGGTGAATTTATCCCAAAAGAACGGTGGGAGTCCGTCCTCTGTTGTTGGCCCGTTCAGCGCCTCCGCACCAAAGTCCTCAGCCATGTTGAAATCTGTTACCTGGACAAAGGCCAACACAGGAGTTGAGCTAAAGAGCACTTGGTTTTACAAAACCTAACTGACCTCTATTATTGCAACCCAACCCATGGCACTACCTTAGTGTCATAACAACCATCTGGAGAAGCCCTCTCCGCTCTGAGGTCACCCCGGCAGCAGATGGACTTGCAGGGGTCACCCTTGGAGTACGGATCCTTCCTGTAGTCTGAAAACAAGCACACAGAAATGCCAACATTCAAGATGTGGCGACTGTCAAATATATTGCCCTTCTGGGCTAATAAGTAGATGTTAGTTTAATAAAGAAAAGTATTTTTATTATTATTATTATTATTATTATTATTATTGATCCACTGTTCAGTAAAATGCCATGCAAAGACAGAAGGTGCTGGAGGTTAATCAGTTAACAAAGATGTCACTATGTTTTAACTGTTTGATCACTGTGACACTAAACTAAATGCTGCATTAGAGCTACTTTCATTTTTAGTGGAAAAACACTGTAAAAAAAAAAAACCCAAAACAAAATCACACTTAAAAAAAAAAAAAATGCAAGTTCCAGTTGATTTGGAGAATATGTGAACCATATAAGCTAAATAACACACCATTGGACCTCATTATGTGCTTCAAGGAATCCAGGTCGTTGACATTAGCCTGATCACGGCGGAAGATCTTGGCTCTGGGACAGAGATCATAGGAGAAGTCCTCTCCATACTCCTTCCACATTTCTCCGTAACCACTCAGCATGTAGATCTTCTGGTGGAAGGGAATGTTGTAGGACGGCCAGTAACCTGCAGTAAATAGTGGCAGCAGGACACATCAACAAATGTTCAAATGAAAAACAGAAAACAGATCTGGGGTCTCATTTATAAACGGTGCGTACAAAACTGGAAACGTGCGAACGGCACTTCCTAAGCAAAGGTTGTGATCTATAAAAAACTAACTTGACGGGAGAATGTGCGGTCCTATAAGTAATCTCTGAACCATGCGTAGGCACATAAAGAGGAGAAATGAGAAACTCATGATGAGAAATGAGAAACGAGCGACTCATGGCAAAAGGATGAATAGGCCTACTACTGTGTAAAATAAATCGAAATATTACCTCTGAATATAATAGGCTTAAAGCCTTTCTGAATAAACAGAAGTAGCTTTTCTGTCGGATTTTGCTTCCTTTTCTTCATGCAGTCAGTACGTATTAATATTAATGAGGGGTGTTTCACTGACCATTTATAGGCAACTATGTGTGTTTGAAGGGTCAGACATGGAGCTCCCTCACATGCATCACATTTCAAGTTGATTGTGATTTATAAAGGGAACTTGCTTACAAGTGTGTTTTATAAGTCTGAATATTCTTTGGCGTACGCCATTTTTGGCTTTTGGGCGCAGGTACAATTTTAGTGAGGATTCTATGCACAGTTTTATAAATGAGACCCCTGGTGTTAGTTACCTCTGCGCAGAGCCTGAGTCTGGTCAGAGTACTCCACCAGCCCGGGGATCTGCTCCACCACAGTCAGAGCCCCGTCATCAACACTGTGGCCCAGCTTCACTTTGCTCCTGTCCAACACCATGTACTGGTTGTTATAAGTACCTACAAGAGTGGGTGATGATGCACAGAAGAAGAGTGGTGAAAAGCACAATTTAATTTGTTTGTTTGTTCCCCCCCCCATTCATTTTATAGTATGATTCAGACATTCATGCAAGAAGTTTCCAAATTCACATGATCCTTTTCACAAAGTCCATAAGGTTTTGCATGACACAGGCAAACCTTTCAACTCAGGTTGTGCTTTCAGCTGCATTACCCTGCATGTAATGTAACACTGTCAAAACTAAACAAAACCAGACATGATGCTAATGGTGATGAATTACTGATCTCAAATTTGGACTTGAAACCTAGCTCGAGGCTTGGGATGGGTCACAGCGATTTAGCATTGCACTCACATTGACAGTGACATGTTAATCAGTGGAGGTCCCCTGTAAGTATTGGGTCTATGCAAGTTGATTTTAATTTTGTACTAAATAAATATATTCCACTGACTGCCTGGAAGGTAAAATTAATTCATTTAAGATCTAATACACGGGTGTGCTTGGAAAAGAGGTTGGCAGTAGCGTAAATTATACATTCATTAAGTACTTTAACATTCAGTTAGATAGATTTGCTTTAAATCAAGTGATCTTTAACTGTTACTGACCTCTTGATGTATGTTACGTTATGTCTCTTAGTGTTACTGCTGTCTTGTAAAATCGTTTGTAACTGTGCTTAGTGCTATGCAAATATACAATTACTCACCAGAGTTGTACATAGTGAAGGTTTTGGCCCACTCTTCTCCAGTATGTGCCAAACTGTGAGCCAGCCTGACCCTCTGCCAAGACAGCAGGCTGTTGGGGGTGATTATATCAAAAAGGGAGGAGTTGAAGACATTGTTGGTGGTCTGGGTCATCATCAGGCCACTGCCCAAGAGGTAAAAGTCATCCAGAGAAACCAGGAAGCCTGAAGTGAAAGATTAGCTTCCTAAGCAGTAGTTGCAATCACAGTTATGTGGAATAATTGTGAATGCAAATCACTACAATTTCACTGTTTATCTGTGAAGAATTGTTGTTACAATAGCATTCCCGGAGCCTACATACCAGGGTAGCTGCTGAAGGACAGTTTCCCAGTGGCTGTGTGGGGCTCAGTGATATGGAAATCCCAGTGTTTGTAGATCCGCATTGTGGCAGCATATGTGTACCAGCTGGAGTGGGCAAACAGGAGGTTCTCGAAGCCAGGCAGCATCTGAGGGGAGACCAGGACAGAGTAAAGTGAATATAGTACCTGTGTCAGCAGAAATGACTAGAGTTTGTGTAATTGTCAATTAGATTAAAATTTTTATATATATAAAAATTTGAAAGGAACCTCTGCACCAAACTTCATGCAAGGACCCAATTTTAGGGTCAGAGGTAAAAGGGGCAAGGCATCATCCTCAAAAGGTACAGTGTGTAAGAAGCATCATCCTCAAAAAAGGTACAGTGTGTAAGAATTGAGACTACTCTCCACCTATCTAATTCATACTCCAAAAAAATGGGGGCAGCATATCACATATCAGGTCATAACAGGAGAGATGTCAAGCATGAGAGGAGCAAGACGGAGGTTGGGCATCAGAGAGGCAGCGATAGCGTGTCAAGGCGGAATATTTTAGGGGAATTAGAGGGTTTATCTATACCAGAGTTGGTGATTGGTAGAACAGCGGAAAGACTAACCACAACAAATCGGGTGAGTTTAATTTTGTTTCTGTTGAATTTGAATGAAGTGTGTTTTACATTGAGTAAACGAGGCAATTAGTTTGGTGAAAGAGAGAATCTTGAATTCAGAAGGTGTACAGCTGTGTTTTTCTGTTTAATAAGGAAATTATGTGTAAGAATATTCCTTTCTTGACATTTTGTGAATACTTTGTTTATTTATGAGACTAAAAAAGCTAAGAGAGCTTGTGTAATGTAGTGAACTCTCTGCTCGCACACATCTCCCAGCTGAAACTATGTGGGGGGAGGCCTGAGCTGTACTGTTGGCTATCATCTCTCGAGGCACAAGTGGTGTTACAACACAGGACAGGCCGGAACTAGCTCGTTAGCATGCTAACTTCAGTCGATATCTATGCAACACAATACATGACATAACCCCAGAGCTTATACTTCAGCACATTATATTGATAATGTTAGTTCATTTTTACACATTGTACCTTTAAGCTCATTCACCCCATGAACCCTTTGGTGATTCCCACGGTTTCCAAAGAAACACAAAATATCAGGCTATATTAATTTTATATTGACTTGCAGCTACATAATTAATGCAATTCAAATTATGTTAATTTCACAAATGCTGCAATACACAGACGTGACACAAAAAATAGGAACAATGAAGAAAGTAAGTATCCCATGGTATGATAAATACATAGTAAAATACAATAAAGACAATATAAGTAAATATATTTTCAGACACAGGGCTTTGCTGACAGTCTGTCTCACAGCAAGATCCATTTCTTGCCCCACAAAATACACATTTCACTATATGTGGGAGTTCTTTGTTTATGAAGTAAATGAAACTGCACACACTACTGCATCTCTGGGAACACTAAACTCTGTTTTCCTGGTGTGGGTGATAAAAATGGTCACAGAGGAGGAATCAGTACTTTTATAGACTAACCTGATAGAAAGAGAGAGCTTTTAAAAGAGGATGTGCAGCTTTGTATCCTTTAAATGCCAACACACTTGTTTACACAGGAAATGTATTCTTCGGTAGTTTATTGTTTCTCTAATATAGCACACCTACGTCCATCAATTATCTGCTTACAGCTAATGTTTGAGTTCCTTTACTGATATATACTGGTGTTCCTGTGTGTATTCCTTATGTAGCGTATTAAACAGGCCTTACATCCTGACAGGAACATGTTTTAACCTCTGACCTTGATGAGTGCAGAGCAGTGTCCCATCCCTGGAAGTTTGAAGTCTCTGAGTAGAGGGTTGGAGGTGGGAACCAAGGCTGGGATCAGATCCAGCAGGTCTCCCACTGCATTCAGGAACTGGATGGCAAACAGGGACAGCGGCTACCGGAAGGACACCAGATATACAGATGTTGGTAATAGACTGAAAATGAATAGTAGTGCTGCTTCCATAGTGAAACAGCCACTAATGGAAAATAAATCTCTTACAAAAAACTGACAACACTTAAAATAACTAAAAATCTAATTATTTGGAGTCTTTTCATACCAAATCTGCACTATTCAAGTGGCAGTTTGCCTTCTCATACAATCTCATACCCCCACTCCACAGTACAGTGTACCTTAAACTTGTGCTAAAAGTAAAAGAAATTGTATATAAGCAATGGTACATACAATCACACTTTATTATGTAAACCTGTTCAGTTTCTTGTTAAATATAAATAGCTAATCAACCAATCACATGGCAGAAACTCAATGTCTTTAGGCATGTCGATGTGGTCAAGACAACTTGCTGAAGTTCAAACTGAGCATCATAATAAGTGACTTTGAATGTGGCATGGTTATTGGTGCCAGACGGGCTGGTCTGAGTATTTCAGAAACTGCTGATCTACTGGGATTTTCACGCACAACCATCTCTAGGGTTTACAGAGAATGCTCTGAAAAAGAGAAAATATCCAGTGAGCAGCAGTTGTGTGGATGAAAATGCCTTGATGACAGAAAGGCAACAGTAACTGAAATAACCACTCGTTACAACCAAGGTATGCAGAATACCATCTCTGAACGCACAACATGTCTAACCTTGAAGCAGATGGGCTACAGCAGCAGAAGGCTACACCAGGTACCACTCCTGTCAGCTAAGAACAGGAAACTGAGGCTATAATTCACACAGGATCACCAATATTAGACAATAGAAGATTGGAAAAATGTTGCCTGGTCTGATGAGTCTCGATTTCAGCTGCAACATTCAGATGGTAGACAGAATTTGGCATAAACAACATGAAAGCATGGATCCATCCTGCCTCGTGTCAACGGTTCAGGCTGTTGGTGGTGGTGAAATGGTGTGGGGGATATTTTCTTGGCACACTTTGGGCCCCTTAGTACCAATTAAGCATCATTTTACATGACAGCCTGCCTGAGTATTGTTGCTGACCATGTCCATCTCACAGTGTACCCATCTTCTGATGGCTACTTTCAGCAGGACAATGCACCTTTTCTTAAAGCTCAAATCATCTCAAACTGGTTTCTTGAACATGACAATGAGTTCACTGCACTCCAATGGCCTCCACAGTCACCAGATCTCAATCCAGAAGAGCCTGACCTTTAGGATGTGGTGGAACAGGAGATTTGATTTGTGGATGTGCAGCTGACAAATCTGTAGCAACTGCATGATGCTATCATGTCAATGTGGACCAAAGTCTCTGAGGAACGTTTCCAACACCTTGTTGATAGTATGCCACGAAGAATTAAGGCAGTTCTAAAGGCAAAAGGGGGTCCAACCTGGAACTAGCAAGGTGTACCTAATGAGTGTAGATGCTATTTACAAACAACTGAGAGTTGGTAATATTGGCAGTGATTGTAATATAACACTATTGGCACTTAATGTGGTGTTGTTGTAATAAACTAGCTCATGTCCCTTTAAATTTTAAAGCGACAAAATATGATATATGATCACAAGTTTGGTTTGCTTTGGAGGTTCCTCATTTTAAATCAGAACTTGGCAGAGTAGTTTTTGCACCAGTCAGATGAAGTGAAAATCACAAGTTAAAGTGGAATTTCTAGTTCCCTTTATAAATTCAGATCCATACATTTGTATATACTTTCTTAATTAGTGCACCATTTTTTCTTTACATCTGAAATCTTGATTTTGAACAGTTGTCTCTTCTGTATTTTATTGTTCTTGTGGGATCATTGTTCTCTCTGTTAGTTTTAGTGTGTACACAGGGCTTCTTTGCATGTAAAAGACAGTACTCGCTCTCATTAATAAAATGCTAAGATTTGGCCATATACCTTTTTTCCTTGTTTCTTGGCCCAGTCTGCGACCCCTGCTTGCAGCCCATCCATCTGGGCCACAATGTACCCTGTGTGTTTCCACAGAGGATCAGAGCTCTTGTTCAGTTTCACCTGCTCTCTGGTCCACGCATCCTGCTTCCTACAAGCACAAGAGCGACATTTGCCGTTTACATCATCATTGTCATTATTCATCAGAATTATTTACTGTAAAACGCTAAACCAAACACTGAGCTCATGACTTAAACTGAGGAATCATGCATGGAAAGAAATGTGATTCCCTTTGGCCTGTCAAGAACAGCCGAATCTCATCGCAGAGAGTGTTTAAAATGTCTGGCCACTTCACACCCTGGGCGTAGCATCATCTGAACTCTAAACTCTGAGTGAGAAGAGGATATGAAAGATGATGTGTGACTCAGATTGTGTGCTGTTTGTGACTGAGGTGCTGCTGTGGTTATAATTTTTAAAAAGGAAAGAGAACAAACTCACTCCATGAAACTCTGAACCGGGCCGAGGATCTTTGGGTCTCGGATCAGCTGCGGATACATGTTGGCGTAGTGGTTCATCATCTGCCTGCGGAGGGAGAGTGTGCATGAATACTGCATGAATGTAATCAGAACAACAATACTGTATTACGAATCTTAAAACAAAGTCTTTGATAAAGTATGATGATGTTTTAATTGGTCAGCTGTTTTCTATGATCCTTAGGATTTTTCTACCGCATCATGAGGGAGGCTGGTGGTCATTTCTTTGTTGTTACAGAAGGTGTCAAAGGCAAAATCTGAGCCGAGCTGTGTGAGTGACATGAGCAGGTCTCCTTGTGAAATGATTATGGATACTACAGGAACAGCAAGCATGGCAGCACAGTTGTGGCACTTACTGGGCAGTGAGGAAGCCTTCGAGGTAGCCTGCCAGGAAGAAAGTGACCTCGTCAGTTTCAGGGGTCTGTCCGTACCCGGCACGGATCTCCAGGATGCTCCAGCCTGTACTGGACAGAGTATCGTTCAGATACCCGTATGCATCCCCCTCCGTCTCCAGCACCCCCTCCTTCAGCAGGACGATCTTGTGCTGGGGGTCCCAGTACACCGTGGCTGCTGTCATCTCTGAGAAGAAATCAAACAGTATTGCAGTAAGAGGACAAAAACAAAATGGCTTTTTGATCTGCTACACAACAGTGTTGTAGACTGATGTCTGCAAAAGACGATAAAGTTAGCACATTGACTCCTTGGAACAATTCTCCTGAAGGAGAACCATCACTGATATTTTAAGCTGATGCTCGTATACACTAATTGTGTGATAGTATATTTGTGCATCTATACCACACATTGCATTTTTAATGTTATTATTAAGCTTGAGTGCCAGATGACTTCTACTTAGAGGTCACAAGACTGGATGTGCCATTCAATAAAATGCTCATAGCCTACCACTGTGTGTCTGTATTTCTTCTTTATTTTCTTATATAAACGTAAATGTTTGTATGTTGGGTCGTTGGGTCATGTTGATACTGATTTGTGGATATAAACTAAAATGAAAGTTAAATTAAAACAATTCAGTTGCATGAGCCCTCGTGAGTTTGGGGATTGCCCCACACACATTCAACTCAGGCTGTTATCTCCGCAGCCTACACCTTAATTAACAACGGCTGACAGGGAGTTAAGAGTAAAAAACTTTCTTACAAAACAGCATACATGCGTTCAGCCCACCACAATTTGTTAACCAGCAGAGCCATTAGATCCTTATACAACTACCCTATCACATAAACTTGGCCTACTTACGGTCAGCAGAGACGAAGGTCGCTGTCACAACTAACAAAAGAAAGACAAACATCTTCTTTACTGAACGCATGTCGTGCAAACAGAGTAAAGGCTTAAGCAACTGAGACACACGGTCGAAAGCCAGACGAGGAAGAAATCAGTTGTTAAGAGGCGGTAGGGAAAGTCCGAGGGAACCTGAGCGGAGCGTTTTCTGATTGGCTGCGGAACGGAGGAAACGGGAACACGCACTACATGTGTCCTTATAGAGAAAGGGCCGTACATGTAACGTCGTTAGGAATATTTTGAGATTATTTTGCCAAAATCAGTTGTTTCCGTTTATGATTCACACAATTATGAACAAAAACCTTTCACCCCAGATGGGACTCGAACCCACAATCCCTGGCTTAGGAGGCCAGTGCCTTATCCATTAGGCCACTGGGGCTACGCAGCAAATGTATGTCAATTTACGATTATTTAAAGATTCATAATGCGATAATCAGAGGAAGCTGATTCACATCGCTGTTGGCGGCGGCAATAAAAACATCTCCCAGCAGGAGATTTTTAGGAATAAAGTCGCCGAAGGTCTGAAAAAGGGGAGACAGCGGACCAACCCACTGTGAGGAATGTACGAGAGGAGGATAATCTTTCAAAACTTGCACTGGACTCGTAGTGTTTTAACTTTAAGTAATAACATTACGTTTGTGTACCAAATACTTTGACGCTGGCGAAGCAACAGTGCTTTTGTTTCATTGATTGATCATAATTATCGCCCCCCCCATAACATCGAGGTCGCGCAAGCATAATATAATTTGTTTTACTTTATCTGATGAATTATTTGTTTCACACACGCATCACATGCGCAATTAATAAAACAATACAGAACCTTTCTGTTTAAAAGAAAAACAAGAAAACATTTAACGTTACTAGTCTTCTAACGTAAGATGGAAAAAAGGTAACGATTATGTCTCACCTACAAGTCAGACACGTTATTTATGTTAAAAAAGCAACAACCCTTTGACCATTTTAAGGTGCATATATCCAATTCAAGTCTACTACTTCCAGACATTAAGTATCTATTCTATGAAAGACAAAATAACATGCAGTAGGCTATTTTCATTCTTTACACTCCAGTTACTCAGAGAAAGAGTGAATGTTCTCAACAGTAAATCATATGCACAAAAATCATCTTATCCCCCTGAAGACAAAACGAGTCACACAAGTGGATAATTATATTCATTATAATATAGAATCAATCTTGCATTCTATTGATAATCAAAACGTTTATATATCTTGAAATAAGAATAAATAAAGCTGGAATGACAAGAAAGTTACACAAAGGGAAAGGGAAGTACCCTTTATACATGTTTACGTTCTGTAGTGTTTGCATTTTACAAAACGTTTCTACACAGTGGTAAAGCTCTGTGAGGCTGTGTGTGTCCATCAGCTTTCTCCTCCTAGACAGAAACAGCAAGGGGATAAAATTTTGCTGGAATAAAAAAAACGGGGAAAGTCTGCAATGCAGGTGAGTGTTGGAAGAAAATAACACAGTTTACCTTAGAGCGAGCAGTGTGAATAAGTAGACTGAATGACCTTATTAAAAAAGTTTGGTTGCGAAGCTTTTCAGAGTTGGACACTGAGGTAAATGCAAGCTTTCCCCTGTGTGACAACAAAACATGTGCAGGGAAGAAGAGAAAGGGGGACAAAGGAGTGTAACAGCTGCACGTAACAAACACTTCATGTAGGAACAGAATTATGTCTCGCATTATCTTCAACACCTTCATTTTGTATATTTATACAACAGTGTCATTTGCTTTCTGTTTGTTAAGCTGAGGAGAAAATGTCTCTGTAGTAGTATGTAGACGCTTGATATTTACCACAAAATAACAGCTCAGGTAGCTAAATAAATAAATACCTGTCCAAAATATGTAGCAAAGAAAATAACAAAGTAAAGTCATCCACAATGCACAAATTGAAATGCATCCCAGACAAATTACACTTCATCCAGGGCTAAGAAGGCACACCTCGTTATGCATTTAAATCCTACTATGCCTCATTAAAACCCCTCCATAACATTCAGATTAAAATAACGTTCTTCTGTTACTTTCTCTCACATGTGGAGAGCGGTCACATCAAAAAGCAAGAAGTCAAAATTCACTATGGTAAAATAACAACAAAGCCACCAAGAGACCAACATACAGCAGCAGGGTTCAGTAGTTTTTCACCTTTGTGCACTGACTTTAAATGAAAGTGAAGAACAGTTAAGTTAGAGTGGTGGCCTTCATCTCCACGCACGCACGCACGCACGCACGCACGCACGCACGCACGCACGCACGCAGTCTTATTCGTCATCAATCAGTTTCTCAGCGCCGTTCTCTGCTTGTCTTCCAACGCCGCTTCCCCCTTCCTCTCCGCCTCCTCCTTCCTCGTCCTCCTCCTCCTCATCTCCAGGGTAGGAGAATGGCTGGCTGCTGTAGTTGATCATGGTGCGGGACAAGTCCACTTCGATGGGGAAGACGTCCGCCTCCTTCAGGACGGCGTAGCACTCGTCATAGTAGTGCGACATGCCTGAGACGAAGCGCTGCAGTTGGAACACGATGTCCTGGACTGTAGGTGAAGAAGAAGGGAGGGGACAAGAATTTATATTTGTATTGCTTTTCCTCAGTTTTTCTGCTTCATAGTGTTTCTCTGTACCTTTGGGTTGTTTGTGCATTTAAATATTATATACTTATAATTCACTTCAATCACAAAGAAAGCATCATCACATCCTGGTTTAAATATCAGATGTGTGTTTAGACCTGTGACAGGATACACCCTGGTATGACTTTGTTGCATTTGTGGTGGATAGAGACACACTGATCCCATTGATTGATAATCTGTGGCAGTTTATATCTCAGAGTAACTGGGGGAAAAAAAACAAACAACAGACCATGTTTCTGATCCAGCAGCTCTATCTTCTCCAGAACGTCCTTCCTCATTTTGGCGAAGCGGGCCCGAGCCTCCTGCCGACACCGCAGCACCAGCCGGTACTCATAGTTACCAGTGCTGACTCGATACAGGGGCTCTCCCATGGCCTGCAGGAAGAAGCACGTTATTTGCTGCTTCAGATGATCGAGTACAGGACGCACACACAGCCAGCGTGCTCAAGACAGCTCTACCAGTTTAGCAGCAGCAGCTTAAAAAGAATGGTGATGGTCACTGATTGATCAATAACATCAAGAGTCTGCACTTGTCTGCACAAAATTAGGCAGGCCACTATGGACAGTGTACACATAACCAGCATGGTATTAAGGGATTTGTGTCCTGAGCCTGGAGTCACCTTCACAAGCATGTCAAGACTTTCAACAGCTTTACAACAAATATCAGTGAACAGACAAAGTCAGCGGGTTAATAGCACGATGCAAAGTCTTTCCACATTCAGCTTTTCAAATGTTTTACTTTGTGTTTGTGCTTTAAAAAGCTGAAAAAAGAAGCAGGCGCCCAAGTACATTTTATCTTTGCTTAAAGACTTTTAGGAGAACAATCGGACAATGTGCGACGACCTGGAAGCAGCAATCTTTCCTGTTGGCAACCTATAAATCTCGTTAACATCATACTGATTTCATTCATCATACTAGAATTCAAATGGCAACTCACAATACTGCTGTATTCTTCATCATCCATTTCCTTCACCTTCAGGCAGTACGACTGAAAGACACAAGGGAATCATCCTGTTTTTCTTTTGGCCGATAGTGAACGAGTGCAGCAGATTCACAAGCGATGCCTTACCAGATATTCAAACTTCACATCCAGGTACTTGCGGATGGTGAGCTTCGTGTCGGGTATGGCCTTGTGGAGGTACGTGTTCAGATCATGGAGCATCTGCACAACAAGATACGATTGGTGACATGAAGTCAGACACAGTATTTTTTGTACTTCCAGACTTCCAGTTCCAGTACTTCATGTCTGATAAAATATAACTAACTAAAAAATGCAAAGCTCAGAAGAAGATGGTAGCACATTAAAAGTAAAAACTTTAAGTGAAAATATGCTCAGTGAGTCCCCTACAAGCCTTTCAAGTCCGATACACTAACAGATGAAAACAACATTTTTCACTGAGCCTCGAGGCCAAACTTGAATCGTACTCACAGGTTTGATGGTCTTCAGCAGCTGAATACCATATTTCTCAATGTTACGGTGAGCATCAGCAAACTTCACAAAGGCCTCGCTGGCTGCGGCCTGGGGCTCTCGTACCCCGATGACAGAAAAAACATCTCCAAACGCTAGAGGGGTAGATTTTAGAAACCAATCAGACACTCAAGCCGTGATAAAGTGAGATCTAAGACGGTGATCTGTGTTATTCTTCTTTGCTGATTAATGTCAAAGGTAAAAAATGTCACATTTGCAACACTTTTAATTTCTGATCTTGATGACAGTAACTCACCTCTGTGAGTCTGAGAGAGCTCAAAGAAAGCTCGGAGCAGTCTCTTTGTGTGCTCCATCAGCCCTACAAGCAAACAGGAATAATGAGACACTGGTTTGAACAAACAGCAACAAGTGAACCTTAACTCACCAAAACACAGTGATTACTGCTTCACAGTCGATCGTAACATACAAGTTGTCACACTTTACCGAGGGCCAGTTTTATAAGTAGTTTATTCTTCACCTTTGTAGAGCTCGGCTGTTTTCTCCAGCTCTTCCAGTCTCTTCACCAGTCCATCTGTAACGTGAAATGAATCCCCACGAGTAGATTTTTGTTTCTATGTGTATAAATGAACTAATAAAAGCATAATGCTCATAGTTATAATCTCACCGTTGCATAGAATAGCTCTGCTGAGTCCGAGAGCATCTGCTGTGCCTGAGCTCATATTCTCCACCAGGCGATGTTTAACTTTCTTCAGCACTGAAACACATGTTTAATGGAAACCTCAGCCCTGGATAACAGTTACTGTGATGACGAGAGAATGCAATGCATAACACTGCAACGCATGAGCCACACACAGTAACATAAACAAACAGTGGATCAAGACTGATAGTATGTGTATAGTGGAGGAGATACCTATATCCAGAGACTTCCCCTGTTTCGGGTCTGCCTGCAGTTTGTTGTAGTGGATTGTTGCTTCTGCCTGTGAAAACATAATAGTTGGTCGGCCGATTAATCGGGTCGATATCTGGCATATTTAGATCATCGTCATTGGACGATGTCTACACTCACAAGGCTGATAAACAAAAAATGTCAGTCTGCAGGCTGCCTAGTCAGTGTGGCTGCTGTAGAACAATGTTAGCGCTTGTGAGTTCTGGGAAGGTAGAGAATAAGTTAGTTTAGAGCCCTAAATGTCCTCAGTCACCTTCGTCTTTTCTACATTTTAACACATTTCTCCTTAATTGCAGAAAATCTAATCTAAAAACACAACTGGTTAAATATATAGTATTTTTCTATTTTATTAATTCCATCTAAAGCAACAAGTTACTGGCCATGATAACCATGTATTTTAGATTGTACTCTAAAAGTGACTTTATAAGGGACGGTTTTATATATCGGCCATCAGCTGCTCTGCTCTCTAAATATTGGCATTGGCCACTGAAAAAACCCGTATGGGTTGCCCACTAGTCAAGAGACCCACAGCTGAAACAACAACATCAAAAAATAAACTGGATATATTAAACAGAAAACCATCTCTAAAAAACAAATTATATCTTCCATTAATTTTAAATTTACTCATTTAGCGTTCACTTTTATCCAAAGTTACTTACATTTGAGGAACAACAGACAAGCATCAGTAAAGTAAGAGATCTACAGGTGACAACAGATACTACTAAGAGCAGCAACAAATACTAGTAAGAGCTATTAGCGTGCACAGTATCAATGGGACAGACACAGCGGAAGAAGCAAGAGTTTAGAAATAGTACAATCAATACGTAAGGAGACATTTCATTTTTAAAATTCAACATGTTATCCTATTATATCTAGTAAAACTAATAATGTGCAAACTTTTCCATCTTCATGGTGCTGAGGGTGATCTCACGTGCAGTATTTGGCTGAATGTGTCACAGCAACACAGTGTAATCCTTTAAATCCCACATTGCACCCTGCCTTTAATCCATCATACAGGAAGTCATGGAATTTTCTGGGTGCGAACAATGAATGACAAAAACAACACAGCCACTCTGCATTGGTGACGTTACGCCAAATGCTAGGGGCTATTGTCCTGACCGCTTCAGCACCGCAGAGGAAGCCAGTAAAGCCCTTTTCCCTTTGACAGTCTGATGGTGAGTTTGCAGCCATAATTACTAAACTGTTGGACTATTCACTAACAAGTCTGCAGCCACAGCGGGACACAAAAATGTGAGTAATGTTTTATTCTTTTTGCATGTTTCTACTAATGTCCTTATGTGTTAATTTCTTTGTTTTAACTAATTCACAAACACAGCTCATTAGTGGAGTTTAACTGTTAAACCAACAGGACATTTACTGACAAAGGCTGATTTCCTGCCTGAGCTTGTGATTAGTAACAAAACAAAATTACCCGCATTTGGTAGGTAGATGTGTTTAATTTTCTATCGCAGTCTTAAACTCCCTTAATCACTAACAGAGAGGACTACATGCAGCTGGTCCCAATCTAGACTTTGTATCCACAGTATTGTAGAAGAGGTCAGTAACAAGCCATCTGAGCACATCCTGGTGTTGTTCAGGACATGAAATGACTATAGACGGTGATTAATTCCCAGCATCTGTGTACCTGGACAGCTTGAATCATCTTGGCCACCTCCACTTTAGTCTTTCCCTTCACTGGTTTGCCATTCACTCCTGTGATTTCATCGCCTGCTGCCAGTGTCCCATCCAGAGCTGCTGGGGTGTTATCAAAGACCTGTGAGACAACAGACACCTCATTGCAAAGGTACCAATGACACAGAGTGCAGACATTTCCCCTCTTATTCAAATGGAGCTTTAACACCACTGTATTAAGTTCATGCTTAACAAGAGCAAACAGACATTACTAATATTCTCACATTTCATACTTATTATAAAACTTAATTTGGAACTAGAAATGTTTTGTGATAATCAATTGCTCTAACCTACCTGGACAATGTAGAGACAAGGACAGTACTGTGCCCCGCCACCAATGCTGATCCCAATGAGGTTATTACCATCTTTCTTCAGACACACAGTACCGGGTACGGTTGGTATCCCACTGTGGAGCAGAAAACGTGACACATGGAGATTTTCAGCACTTAGCGTTTTTTAACAAGAGGTACAGCAATATAGTATAAAGATCTAAATTTTTTTACAAATACTTCAATAATGAGAGTAATGAGTGGAAATTTCATATCAGGAATTGGGCTCACACTATTAACGATGGTGTATGGGTTTAATTGTAGTCGTTTTTTATCAGTATATGTGGTCACATGTATGAACAGAAGATCCACACACTGTAACACATACTTGCATGACGCAGATCAAAAAAGGGGAAAATACAATTGTGACTCACAGTTTGTCCTCCTCCAACTCATAGTCCATGTCAGTGAACATTGCGGGACAGTATCACTCCTGTCCCTGTGAACCCTGTAAGTGATAATATACATCAATTGACTTTACGTTATTGTGACTGAATCTGAAGATATAATATGATGTAGACAGAAATATTGAGCAGCTCTCTCAGTCTGCGCTACCAACAATAAAGATACGGTATCTAACAAGGATACTGTGCTCTAAATAAAGCAGGTCATTGATCCCCGCAGTCAGAGAGAGGAAGCTAGCTGCTGCAGCAGAGGGACGAACAGCTGGTAACTTACGTCTCACGCTAAACAACCCGAGGTTAACCTGATAAACGAGTCTAAAAAGGTGGAACAGTTCATCTAAATTCATCCGACATACTCTGTTAAAACAACTACTTTAATATGTCTTTATAGTGACGGAGGAAAGCAGGAAAATCGCGTGCTAACGCTGGATTATTAGCTGCTTAGCTGATGTAACGTTGGGATGTTGGCAGATGAAACGGCAAATGTCGCTTTTTCAGAAACGTGAACACACAATGAACGATTTACCTTTATTTGACCCTGCACCAGTTTCTCATACACCTAGTATGCATATAAAGCAAAGTATATTTTAAAAATCGCTTCCTTTGGTCGTAATTATCTTAATTTCTGGATCCAGTGACAGCGCCTCTGTTTACTTTATTTTGTCACTTCCGGTAACATAGCGGAAGTTGTTTTTGGGAAAGACTAACATCATTTTAATTGTTATGTAGTGGCCACAGTTAGAAACACCAGACCCACATTCTTCAGTGTGAATACTATAGGTATTTATACCGACTACCTGTAAAGATGATTAACGTTGTTATCAACCTATATGAAACCCATCAAATTCCTTCCAAAGAAAACATTTTAACACATTTACAATCATGAGGTTTTACTGCCCTCTAGTGGTCACAACTAGGAACTGCACCACATTAAATTCGTCAAGGTAGACATGATAGCCTACTATCACTTCCTGAGGTACTTTCAAATTACAGTGAGCAGATTGCAGCTAACAGACCAGTCACAGAAACGAAAAAATCGTGTTTATCGTAACATACACAGTGTTGAACCGACACAGTGACCGACGAGCGACGGCGGTGGTCGCCTGCTTCGATGGTAACTTACTGATCTTTTTTAGTACACTGCCCTCCAGTGGTCACAATATGGAACTACAAAACATTCATTGGTGAATCTAGCGTAAATGGAGACATGACAGCACGTCCGGCGAATACTTAAAAAATAAAATGATAAAACCGAAGCTATTGAAAACAATCTAAGAAATTATTGTTATCTATTGGTAAACCGTCATCTCCATCTATGCGTAGACGGGAGACTACTAACCGACGACGGACTGCGGCTACGTGCTGACAAGGGTCAAATGGAGGAAGCCGAAGCTAGTCTTTAGTAGCCTGTAAACTATGTTATTAACTTTAATAACCTATTCAGACGGACACAAACGTATGATTCCAAATACACAGTTGCACTCTATGGTCAAGGCAGACATTACAACCGTGAGTTTTACCGCCCTCCAGTGGCCACAGCCTGAAACAGCAACAAACTTAATTAATAAAACGAACGTCATTGCAGCCTTGACAGCAAGCTACCACTTCCGGTGAATACTTTCAGAATAAAGTGGCCAAACTGAAGCATCCAAGTAACAATCTAACAGAAAGGATTGTTCTGATGGTCAGTCGTTTTTATGTGGGGAAATTACGACGAGCAAGGCGGGTGTCTCCCCCGTGTGCAGGCGTATAGAGCAGCTCTAAAAAACGCCAGCTGGGGATATAAAACTATATTAAACGATCAAGACTAGCAGGGAAAAGGAGATAAATACACCACTCCTGCCTTATTTATATGCTATTTCCTCCCCTTGACAATGAGATATGCAATATCCTCCTCCAAGAACTTAAAACAATGTATTTATGGCAAACTCAACGACTCTGATTTTGAGCTTATAAATAAATGGGTTTACAGCCACCGACCACAGGACCTTTAGCAGGATCCAGCTCTATAGCTGCTGAAGGTATGGAGGGAGTTTTCTCCAGACAGCTGTTCCAAAGAGCGCACCGTTATATGTAAACACCAATTAATACGAATCATTTATCACCATTGATGAACCCTACAAAGAATAGTAGCCTATAGCGTTTAAAAGCAGTATTTGGAGGTGCATGCAAAACTCTGCATAACACCTAAAAGCTCGTTCACGATCAGTCGAGTTGAATGAGCGTAAGAGGCACAGACGCTATTTCCCCTATCCGGATTCAAAATAATCAAAATAACTATGAGTTAGGATACATCAGATTGTGTTGTAGGCTGCACGAGATCAGATATCTGAATGTCATAAACCAATTGCATTATGGCTGAACTCCATAAGCAGGCGCGTTGGGGACAATGTGGGAGGATCAGACAGTCACTGAAAATGACACACAGTAAATGACTAGTGGCATGAAGAGATATCTAATTAATCAAATAGGAACACACGAGGTCAATATGAAGAAACGGGGGAGAGTATTATTACAATTCTTTTAAAATTAAATAAAATATTAATAAAAGAGGCATCCAGCGTGATTGTGATAGAGAACAATATCAAGTATCAATAATAAACATTTTTATATTTTGTTTTAATGATCAATCATACAGTTCAACCATGAATGTTATTTAATTCATAGGATCAGCATAATAGATTGGTTAAATTGAGCTCTGCGGGTGGTGTTTGTACTTACATATAATCAGTAATGATGCACTGTGGCAGCTGTTACTCACAACTTGTTCTGCGATCAAGGAAGCAACTAATCTTTTTCAAAATTAGTTCAACAACAGTGATTAAATAGAGTACTGGCTCTGCATTGAATAGGCATTGATTGCCATGATGATGAATGGGCCACATTGTAACTGTTAAAACTCCTTTCATTGAATCATCGTGATCTGCATTATAAATTAAGTGAAACTTCACAATCACACCATTTAACCATTTGTCTTCAAGGACAGAAGACTCTTCCTGAGTCCAAGACCATCTTCTTATATCTTCCAGTAGCGCCAGGACTGTTTCCCAACACCAGCACGCAAAATGAGCATGGTAAATGTATCTTCTTTGTTTCTGCTTTTATTTCACAGCAAAATAACAGATTAAGGATTTGCACCCTGTCATTTGACTAACCATTACGACATACAGCAATCTTTCATTTTCTAATAAAATTGTTTGCAACCCTTTATTGTGTTTCTCAGCTGCTTGAATTGAAGAATGTGGATCTGAGAGCTGGAGATAAGCTGAAAATAAAGGGGCTAATTCTGCATGATGCTGAGCGGTAAGAGAACCCAACACATTACATTTAATTTATATTAGCCTCTTGACTGAATAAAATTATATGGTGATGCAGATGTATTCTGGTTTATTGCTGCTGTATAAAATATGAAGAAAATGTAATTTTCCTTTTATAAATAGCCCGGTGACTATATGTCTAATATTGAACCTGTGTGGTGCTCTGAGCTCTGAAAAATCTATTAACTATTAAGACAACATTTGTCAACATTGTCTCTGGTCCACTCAGATTCCAGATCGACCTCGGCTGTGATGCAGACGACCTGGCTCTGCACTTTAACCCTCGTTTCCACGATGACACTGACGGAGCTGTTCTCGTTTGCAACTCAAGGACTGCTGGTTGTTGGGGCGATGAGAAACGGGAAATACACAACCCTCTACATAGGGGCACAGATGTCAAGGTGAGGGAATCTGACTGAAGGAAGTGTAAATATGTGTTTTATATTAAAAAACTGTGGGTGAGTTACCTAGGATTTTAGGTTAGCGTTAGGTTTACCCCAATGAAAACAAAACCCCAAAGAAACATATTTCCTCACTAACCCTTTGTGATAATTTCATGCAGGTAGTTTGGGTTTTGTCTGGAGAGGTTTTGTGAACTCTGTCTCAGAGATTTTCTACTAAAAATAAAAAGGATTTACTCTAAGAATTTTTTCTATTTTAGATTGTGTTGAAGCTGGCAGGAGACATGTTTGAAGTGGAGCTTCCTGATGGACAGGAAGTCCAGTTTCCCAACCGTGATGGCATGGACGTTATCAACTACATCAAAATCGCAGGAGACTTCAAACTGACTTCCTTCAAGATCTGCTAAAAGACAAGTACATGCTGTGTTTATCAGTTTGGTTTAAGACAAGACTCATTAAGAGTCATTAAGAGATGTAGCTCTTCAGTACACTGGAAATGTAGCTGTATTTAAATGTGTCCTGTTCTTCACAACAAAATAAACTATTTAAATTCAAATTTTCTTCTTTTTTGTCTTTGAAGGGTTGTAGCCTAATTCGGACTTTGAAACATTTCCCATAAACATAACAATAACTTTAAATTTAGCATCAGTCTAGAGAGAGCAACAGTTCAATTAATACAACAAATCGCATACAAAAATAGTAGAGCCTACTGAGATTGCTTGTGAAACATAGCACTGAAATCCATCAAGTGTATCATGACTAATTGCTGCCTTCATTTAATATTATCTGTAACCAGGTCCGTGTACGTTCTAATAGTTTCTTTTTTCATTTGAACCAATAAATGAACAAATGAGAAAACCACCTTTTTTCCGTTTGTCGTTTCAAACCAAAAACGAAGAAACGGAAAAAAAGAGCCGTTCTCCCGTTTTTGGTTTCTGAATCCAAAAACGAAAAACGACTAAACCAAATTCAAATAAGACCAATGACGACAACAAAAAATGGTCCGATTTTTGTTTTTATGAAATTCCTATTTTCATTTTCCGTTTGAAGATAGGCCTAGACATAAGAAAAGACAGACCGGTGAGCCAGGTGACCCGGAAGTAAGAGTACAGACATTAAAATAAAAGCCAAGCTTTTAGAACGGTCGGATCTGTAGCATTATGCAGCACAAACGTTATACCAGGGTGACGTTAGATGAAAATAAATAACTAAATAAATACACCTGGACTAAGAGAAATACGTTAGCAACAGCAGTTGATTGCAGGCACTATAATATTGTGCATTTATTCATGTAAACAGCAAGAGTCACGTTTTTTAAACATTGTTTGGTGCAGTACAGTTGGTAGGCTAATATAGGTTAACCTAAGAAATGATTGTATGTGCAAAGTTGTTACTGTCAGCGCTATATTTTTAATATTAAATTTATATTTAATGTGGTTTCCACTGTAATGAACCAAGCTGTCCCCCCTTTCTACCAGCAGGTGGCAGGATTTAAATTAAGGCCTGTACTGTGTCTTTATTAAACGTTTTGAATCCAGATTACTGATATAGATGGATTTATTGTTGTTCATTTCATTTGGTTTGCCTCCCTCTAGCCTAGTTATCATCTTCATCATTCACCCTCAGCCCAGAGTTAAATCTGCATGCCCTTCTGCTCTAACCTGGTTCTAACACTGCTGTCAGCTTCTCAGCAGCTCTGACAACAAACTCACATCAGAAGTGTCCTAATGTAGGCCATCTGGCCAAAAGAATGATTTACCAGTGTGCTATATACTGTGTGAATCTTTCTTCTCCATACACATTCCAGTGTGTAACACTTCCAACACTCCCATTGTATCAGAAGAGAATCCACAAAAGTCTTTCCATACAACATTTATTCAAAATATGTAGCACATACATGTTTTCAAAGGCATCGAATGTACAATCTATGGCTGCAGAACATTGACTCTGAATGAGGTAAGGACATTTGACGAGGTCCTCAAAAGAAAGTCCAAAAACTTCATTACATTATTACTCAGGATGTAAGTCAGGCCTCTGAGGCCACATTTAAAATGTTCTGGCTGATATTGTATGCTAACAAATACAAACAAAAAACAAAGTTAAAAAAAAAAAAAAAAGACTACTCTGACTTTTTAGTTGAACTTTGACCTGACCAAGCAGTTCTTCCCTCGTATGTTTTTAGAGAGCAGCTCTCTCAGCTATGAGTAAAAACAAATTGGCATTTATGTGTATAAAATATAAATAAATACACTGAACAAAATTATAAATGCAACACTTTTGTTTTTGCCCCCATTCATCATGAGCTGAACTATGTACACAAAACGCATATCACAAATCTGTCAAAATCTGTGTTAGTGAGCACTTCTCCTTTGCCGAGATAATCCATCCACCTCACAGGTGTGGCATGTAAAGATGCTGATCAGACAGCATTTGTATTGCACAGATGTGCCTTAGGCTGGCCACAATAAAAGGCCACTAGATATAACAACTCATTAAAATTAATGGGCCTGTTCATCTTAAGACAAATCAATAGAGCAGGGGTTGAATACTGCATGTAAAAGGCATAACCATTTATTATTTTTGCAAAAAAATAGTTTATTTGTTACTTCTTAAATTCATGTAGATAAACACAGTGGTAAAATGATAATGGAATTGTTCTCATTTAATTGTGAGTGGTGACCGCAGGGTAAAAACTCCCACTGAGTGCTCAGCTTAGCTTTTCCATAGCCCTTCTAATTTATAACCCTCCCGCCTGCTTTTATCAAATCTGATGTGATAGCTGAGCTAAAAAAGTAATTATGAACAAGCCTGTTAAACACACGGTAAATCATTAGTTATTAAGTGAATAAAAATGTATAAATGTTTTACAGCCAGGGCATCCATGTGGTAAACAATCTGTTTCCAGCCTGTCCAAGTTCTTCAACAATGATGTTTCACTGCATGAGTAGAGGTAGGCCTGCCAAGTACAAGTTCAACATGTGCACACCATAAACAGTGAAGCGGTCATTGGCAATGAAAAATTTTATTCCCAGGCTACATCCAACAATGCTCAAACAAAACATGTAAAAGCAACTAAAATATCGTTTTTCCGAAATGTAACACAACAAAGTGATCAATCTTCCAACATGAGACATTACACAACTTTCTGTTCTAATGTTCTGCACTATTTCCTGGACTCCTTAGAAAGCAAACATAAGTTTTTATATGTTAAATGAACTATGGATGTTAACCTTGAATCTAATTAATTAATTTAATCTCCTAACATACCTTATAGCCTACTATCTCTTTTCTGAAACCTGAGGTGAGGTTGTTTTGGTGCCTTCATGTGTCAGATGTGCTAGTGCTTTCTAGTCTAATCTGAACCTAAATGATATAGGCAATGATATAGACAGTCTTTGTGAGGTTTGCTTTAGGAACACAACACACACTCTCTAAATGAAGACTTGTAATGTCACAGCAAGTCAGCTTTACAGATTGTTAAACCAACATCTGTTCCAAATCTTAGATCGTCTAGTACATTTTCCTGGCACCATGTGTAAAGAATGTTCACTTCTGGTGCGTCAAGAGCAAATTGCTGACTCATACTTTCGGAGTCCTGATGTATGCAAATATGGTATTTTCCTGTAATTTCATAAGGCAACTGTTAAACTATTATTGTTCTGTTAATTGGCCAAAGTTGTACAGTTGCAAGGCCACTAATTCAAATCCCTCCCCTTCGTAGCTAAAAGCTATAAAGATATTAGCTTGTATTGAAGATGAATATTACCTTCAGGAATAAAAATGCATCCTAAATCCACTAAATAACTACTAAGAAATTTGCTTTCCCTACTATAATTTTAGGAATATTTCTAGAGAAACAAAGCTTATTTATTCATAAATGAATAGCCAACAAGTAACTTAATTGGTCATAAATGTATAGCCTACAAAGAGTGGCATATACCTCTCACACTTTAAACTAAACTCCTAAACATGAACATTCAGTATTTGTCTGTATGCAATACTAAACAATCAGTTAAATGCTATATGTATTTTGTTGTTGGCAAACATTAACATTTCTTCTACAACAAATGTATGTGGGTGAGAAAACTAAACAAATAATCAATGTGATGATATCCTTGTTCCAATGTGATGATATCCAACTGATGATATCATCAGTTGTGGGTTCCCAGAAAGCAGTTCAAGCTATTTGCTAGATCGCAAACATTCATTTACTCAGCTGTTAGGCCATTTCTGCTGAATGGCAAGCAATACACTCTTAAAAGTAAACGTGCACATTTGGTTGTTGATTAGTAGCAGATTCACTCTCATTCAAACCTTCAACATTCAAGCATCATCTTGTTGTGGTGGCAGCCTGGCTGACGGTGAGTGTCCTGTTTCTTTCTCCTTTTTTTCTTGTGATTCTGTTTTCCCCTCATGTTTTGGCCTGCCTGTTTGTGTCTCCTCCTCTCCCCCTGCCTGTGCTCTCCCTCTCTCTCTGCTCCTGAGCCCAGCTGACAGTCCGCACCTGCACCTTATCAGCCACCTCCTCTGCCTGCCAGCAATCAACCTCATCTCTGCCAGTACTTTAACCCCGGTTCTCCACACAATCGCTGCTTGACTCAGGCTTTTTATCTTGTGACATCCCTGTTCCCTGAAAACTGATGTTTGGAAGGCCTATGTGTAATATCTTTGTTTATATTTGGAAAACGGGCTGTAGCCTAATTAACATGACTTACTGCCAACTTAGATATAAAATGAAGACAATTTTGCAATTATCCTTATGACTCTGCATTATTTTACTTGCTGTGTAGCCCTACCAACCAATCCACTCTTTTTTTTTACCTGTTATAATACCTTTAAATGACCAATACAACTCTTAAAATGCAGTATTTCACTTGCCAGAAAATGATTGAAGCCTTTTGTTATTGAATGAAAGGTTATTTCTGCCCTGAAATTAGTTGATTTCATTCAGAGGAGTTATATTTGACAGATTATAGCTCACCTAGTACTTTTTACCTCTGAAAATGCCTTTAAATGACCAATACAACCCAAAAAATGCAGTAGGCTATTTCACTTGTCAGAAAGTGATTGAAGAGACTGGGCAATACAGCTCCAGCAGACGGCAATCAGTTTTCGGCAGACGATCACTTTTCGGCACGACACCTGTCGGCATCCGCCTCTCCCTCACCTCCGTTTCCCCCCTCAATTAAACCTGTTTCACCGGAGCGTTGCTTTTGGGTCCTATCTGTCCAACACAACTAAAGCTAACTCTTACTTACAGTTAATCTCATTGGTGTTTTCCTCTAATCTTAATTTGGTTTGGTAATTGTGTTACTGCATCTCAAATCCTACTTTGATATCTTTTAATGGATGGACTCTCTCCCTCCCCTGGACGATTTCTGGAGTAGGATAAAGAAAGCACATGTTTATACTCACAAAAATGAAAACAATTTACAAAGTGGAGCTAATTAGCAGAGTTTCAGGAGCAGGACCACACAACAACCACGTCATCGCCAGCAATAAATACTCACACGTCGCAGCTCCTCTTCATCGCTCTCGCATTGTGCATCCCTCCCC